TCTATGCAGCAGCAGAGCACCTGCAGTAACACCACGGAGATGAGTGTGGTACTGATAGAACAATCCAGTGGACTTGAAACACACTTCTACTGATGTTTCAAGTAAAACAAATCAGCCTGGAAAAGCTAAAGCCAGCATTTCAAGTGACAGGGCTGAAGCAGCAGCAATGCAGAGTAAACAGATCCCTAGTTTCAAAACTGAATGAGGCAAGAAGTCATTTGCTCTCCAATCCTTACACGTGATCCCTACAGAGGCAGAATATTTGTGCTTCATTTGGGTCAAGTAAGCAGGCTTCCTCACAGGAGACTCACTCAGGCGTTTGTTCGGTGCAAACACAACTTCACCTAATTTTCAGCATCCTGACAAATCAACTACTGCATTGAAAACAGCAAGTGCACTACTGATGTGTCACTGCATTTCAAAAAGGAGATTTGAAAGGAAGCACTAAATCTTGTGGTCTGCATTCAAAAGACACTTAAAATTTAGTGGGGATTTTTGTTTTTAATTTACCTAATTAAGATAAATAACATATGGCCTCTTCTGTTTTCTGGAGGTGCAGTAGGGTTATGTTGTTTGTTTGCTTTAAATTTTTCATTTAGAAGCAGCAACAGCACTGCTAATGAGAACAAAATAATCAAAATCACAGATAGAAAAAATAGTTGCTGAATTCCAGCTCCATATCAAGTAAAGGTTTTTTGCTATACCAATTATCAATCGTGCCAAGTATTCCAGCAAACATTTAAGACTATTAAAATACTGTCCTAAGAGGAAAAACAAGTGTATCCAGAGTAAAACTTAGATTTCCCTTGCCTTGGTGTTAACCTCATTTTAAGTTACAGACACATCTTCATCCAGAGCAACTATAAAAAAAAAAAAGAAAAATATATATTTAAACTGGAAAGGCTACCTGAAGTAGATACAGTGTAAAGGGTTGCAGAGCAAAGGGTTACTCAGGAAAAGACAAGAGACCTTAATTCTGAACATCTACCTTAGCTAATACTTCAGTACTACTTTAGCTCTGTCCCTTAAGCTTCATATCAACTAGAACTCTTGTTTTTCCCCCAAACCAACCCAAATTCAGTAGCTTTGAAGGAAACTACAGAATTTTATTTGCCCCGCAGGCCAAAAAGCATACTACTAAGGCATAACAGCTCATAAAAGGAAGAATTCATTTGGAGCTCTGACAGCATTCACTGAGAATCCCTTCACATTTCCTAGTTTAGCTCATGGAACATTTTGTTCTAAAAGATACCTTCCACTTGTTAAGAAATTTACCTTTTTCATTTCTTCAACATAAGCTATCATGGCTTCCTCTTTGGACATATCTCCCAGGGCACTCCAAGCATCCCTAGGAAAGAAAGTCACACATCTTCAGAGACTTAAAGGCCCACAGGATTTTTTTTTTAGCCTTAAATAGGCCAGTTATACAATGCTCAAAGTTTCTCTCATACAAGTAAAATGTTTAAAAAAAAAAAAAAAAACAGTAATAATAATAAAAATTTAAACTGCAAACTGCTATTGTATTCAAGTTTGTAATTTGCTAAGATAATTAAAGCAGTGGGACATACATACAGAAGAAACAAAATGAACAGCCTGGGGACTAGCTAATCAACGATGATCTTGTACCCAGTAATGTTGTTTACAAGTCCAGATATTATGAAAAACACATACTTCCCTTTCTTTTGACTGACTTAGGGTCCTTGACAACAGGAAAAAAAAAAAAAGCCTAATACTCAGCTGGCACCTACAAATATCTGCCAGAATAAGTCATAAGTTGGTCAATAATAAATCAGAATAGGCTACAACAAAAGTGTGCCGTCCTTTGCACCTGAGTTTAGTAACAAAGGAAAGACGCACCTGTCCAAAAGGCAAATAATTTAATCATTGCCTCCAGCTACCACCATAGTTAACTCATGACCTAAAAAATACCCAACTTTCCAGTCCTGCAACACAGAAAACGTCAATCAAACTTTTTAGCATTGCAAAAAGAATGCCAGAACACAGGCTGAAATAAAGCATTTCCTTACCCAGAACTGCACTCGATTTGACACTATCCTTACCTTTTGCCAGACTACTTGTCCCACTTACAGCAAAACCCCAAGGCTGGGGATCACATTTCAGCCACAAACAGCCAGATGAGTGGGAGCTTACTGTCCCAGTCACGCAAACACACCTTCTCCCCATTTCACAGATCCCAAGAAGACCCTGACCATAGAGACAGCAATAATAGTTGCATTTCAGAAGAAAACTATTAAAATAACTTAATTAGGGGAGTGTTCATACAGGTTCTCAAACAGATCCTCACAGTGCTCAGAAGGCTTGTAATTTGTCTAAAAAAATGCTATCAGCAGCAAGTCCTGTCACTGAGCACATGAACCAGGCACAAACTAAACCTACCCCAAGAGCTTGAAGCTGTAGCAAAAGCTTTTAGTGAGCATCTGTGCACTTCATGCTCATATTATATAATATAAGAAGAAGAATTTGAGACACTGTTCTACATTACACTGTGTAGACTGCCTAGTTTTGTTCTACAGGGTGGATATACAGTGTGGAAACATTACAGTGGTTTATAACTCCTTGAAAAAAATCATCTGAAACATAAGAAGGAAAACAAAGTAACAGAGATTAAAAAAGAAAATGTTAAAAAAAAAAAAAAAAAAAAAAAAAAAAAAAAAATGATTCCTTCAAGAACTACTCCTCTTAACACCTCCACCCAAGTATAAAGAAAAGTCATGAAAAGTTACCATTTATATCTACCAATAGGATCCCAAAATCCAGGTCTTGGAATGTTACAGGGTCCTTGTGTTGCCTGCTTATAAAAGCTATAGAACTTCAGCATCATTTCATTTGTTGGCTGGAAAGAACCTAGTGAAAGCATTTTAAAATACAGTTAAAGTATAATCAAGTATGTTAGCAAGTATTTTGCAAGCTTAGTATTTCTGTCAGAAAATAGCCTGCAGTTTATTCCAGCTTCATTCACAGCAGTGCAGTTTAAGTCAATGAAAAACATCTTCACTTCATCTAACTGGAGTCAGCCACACTGACAATATTTACTTTACAAACAGAGAGCAAACTGCAGATTAAACAAGGGACTACAACCTTTACTGCTTCTAAGGTCAGAATCCACAATTAGCAAAGAGTAACAAGTAACAAAGAGCAAGGCTCCTTTCACTTAATTTAAAGGGGCAGATTCCACTTCCAGTAACAAAGTATGTCACAGGTCATTTTCACATGGCAAACAGGAATCTACCAAAAGACTCCAGAAAATAGAACAACAGTAACTCCTCCTGCATTGCTTTTGTTTACTTGTTATTTGACAGGACTTCCAATCACAGCCTCATCGCTCTTCCTTGTTTTCTTCTCTTCCTTCACAGAACAAAGATTTGTAGGGGTAGGAAGCGCAAACACAACACTGCAATAACTGGCAGAGAAAATTCATACTTACTCCTTTAAATCAAATATTCTGGGGCTGGATTTTTGTCATTAAGGGATGCCAGCAACAACCTTTAGTCCCAGCTCTTGACAAACCCATCTTTACTTATCACAGCGACCAAAAGGATACATTTTGACGTTTTGCTCTGCTGTTTCGTTAAACCTTTCAGCAGAAGGATCCCATGTGACATCAGCTCCCAAGCTGCCAAACCAACTCAGGACCTGAGGAAGGCCCTTCCCCAGCACAGAGCCGCGGACCGGCGGGGAGCCGCAGACCCCTCCTCCAGGAGGAACTTCTTTCCCAAGTTCGAAAGGTGCTATTTCAGACAGGACGGGGCTCCGTTCTCCCCTCGGCCCCCCGCCGCACAGACCCCAGCCGGCCGCGCCCGCCGTCCTCAGGCTGCACTCACCATTTTTGGGCAGGCTCTGGATCACCTTCACGGCCGCCTCGAACCGGGTGGCATGCACGGAGCCGGTCTCCGCCATCTCCGCCTCGCGTCCCGTCCCGTCCCTCGCCGCCTCCCGCTCTGCCACCTCGCCGGGCTGCGTCGGCGGAGCGGGAGCAGGTCAGCCTCCCCCGCCGTGCCGCCCGCAGCACGGGAAGGGGCAAAGCGCCGCCGCCGCGCCGCCACCCCACCGCCCCCCGGCGGCAGCGGGTGCCCGTGCCCGTGCCGCCCCGCTTCCCAGCGCTCCCCCTGCGGCGCGGTGCAACGCACGCAGAGCAGCGCCCCGGACCGGCCTCGCCTTGCAGAGCGAGCGCGACCCCCAACGCCCCTAGTACGGCCAAAGGCCCACCCCTACCTTCGTCCCCTCGTTAGGCGCCCATGTTATGTCTCCCTCAGCAGCGCCCTTCCCCTCCCATCGCACCGCCCCGGAGCTGTCCGGGGCTCGCTGGGAATCGTAGTTCGCCACCGCCCGGCTCCGGGGCCTGGTGACACGGCACGGCACGGCACGGCGCCCGGCTGGCTCTGAGGCGCCGTGGGCCTCGCCGTCGCGGCCTGCCCGTCCGCTGCGGCCTCCAACGCCGGGATGTGAGTGAACGTTCAAAATGTGCCACACTCAGCCCATTTACGGTGCTGACCGTGTACCTTCAGGGGATCCCCTGCTGGCCTATCCGTCTGCCTTGCTGCTTGCTGCCCTCTCACAGTTGCCTCTTACCCTCCCCCCTCCCCCGCCCCCCGCTTCGACATACTTCAGCTGAAATATCTCTGTGGTTACACATTCAATGACTCCTACTTAATTTAAAATCCCATTCCTAGATTTTTAAAGCCTGGAACCACGGAAATAGCTATTGCTGTCGTGTTCAGAATGGGTGCTGTTGTGGTACAGTGAGCTGTCTAAGTAGCTAAACAAATGCCCTTACCCAAAAGCACTGTGCATCCAGCACACAAGATCAGACGAAAGTATGCTAAAACTGATTTTGTAGCAAGTGGAATAGTTTATCCAGTGAGTCTCATGATGAATTAGTAGCCTCTCCACACAGAGTACAAAACCTTGGCACTCCAGTCAAGTCCTATATCTGGTACACATTAAAATGTATTTTAAATTCCTCTTAAGGCAGTTGTGTGCTCACAGTATGTGCCCTCTGGTGGAAAAGCAAAAGCTTCACAGAGAGGGAATTAATGCAGATCAGCCCATGCTCTGCTGAGCTACTTCATTCCACAAGGTCAGCAGCCATCTGGCCAGGGAGAGCTTTGCTGGAGAGCAGCTGACACTTGCAGAGGTGTTCAGACAGGATTCACCACAGTGGGCAAAGGACAAACCCACGTTATAAACATCACTGCTCCACTCACACAATTGTTACAGAAGAACTTCTCTGAAATTTTCATCCCTAGTGGGAGATTTCTAAAACTCTTGTATGTTTTATACCAATATCCATCTATCCACAAAGGTAGGAACGACAGAAGCACAGATCAAAGGTAAGTGTTTGTTCGAAGATAAGTGGGTCTCTGTATAAATATGGATTCTTTGAGTGTGCAAGAGTTAACTGCAAAAAAGTAATAAGGAAATGAAGGTCCTCTTGTGAGGCCAGATGATGTGTAAATTCTATTTACCTGAGAAAATCTATAATTACATTTACCATTTAATTGATTTAAGAGAAACACAGTCTGCATTTTTATAATGAATGCTTCCCAGACTTTCACTGGGAGGAGGAGATGCAAATGACAACCTGTTTAATGGCTGTGTGCAAAACAGAAGCCGCCATCTTTGCACTGAAGGTGTGTAAGATCCGTAAACCCAGAATGAGGCACTTGAAAATGAAGTAACTCAAAATAACTAGTACCATCAATCTCTGAGACATGGATGAAATAGTAAATGAGAGGCAAATTATGAGTGCTGGTGAGCCTGTGAGAGCACATCAGAAATGACTATTTAATTTAAATGCTTGTATATGATATTAACTAGCATGCCATTAACTGTCCTTATGTGTACATATTGTATTCTCAGTGTAGTGAGTTCCATGTAGAGTTAACAACAATTGGATTTGAAGCATAAGTAATAAAGAAAGCCTTCTGATCTGTTGCACAAAGATAAGAGTGGATCTACATTCCTGTCGCAGTCTGGGGACCCTGACTTCATTACTTAGGGAACAAAATTATTTGATTACTCTCTGTCATCTGCATCTTCTGGGAACCTGTTCAGAATGACCATGTTTGTAAAATCTGATAATGATCTCTGTGTTGAACTTGATTGTGTTTCTGTCACTATGCAGGAGCAGCTGCCAAAGCAATTGTAAGTATGAGCAGCTCTTCTTTCTTTTTCTTTTTTTCTTTTTCTTTTTTTCTTTTTCTTTTTCTTTTTCTTTTTCTTTTTCTTTTTCTTTTTCTTTTTCTTTTTCTTTTTTTCTTTTTCCTTTTCTTTTTCTTTTCCTTTTTCCTTTCCTTTTCCTTTTCCTTTTCCTTTCCCTTTCCCTTTCCCTTTTCCTTTTTCTGCTACGAGAGTGGTTTGGCAGTGTGTGTAATGTGTGACACTTGACATGTCTCAGTACTTTCTATTGTCACACTTCTCTTTAGCTGGTACTTCATAGTCCACTAAAGGAGAGTGTGTGAATTGCTAATATGAGGCATTTCTTGAAATGTTAAGATAAGAAATCCTGTATGCAAGTGTGCTGTTCTAGTCCTGGAAGGAGAACATTTACAGGATACTGAAGAAAAATCAGACAAGATCCTGATCCTGAGTATAAACTCAGACCTGTTCTTCACAGACAGAGTAGGGGTGGTTGTTGAGTCCAGCAGTGCTACAGGACAGCATATCAAGGTCTGATGTGCTAAGTACCTTCTCTTTCTATGCCACATGTAAGGTGACACTGTCCCTCAGTGTCCTTCTTATTTGTACTCCAGATCTGAACTAAATTTCTAGCAGATGCTTCCAGTGCATCCCAGAAGATCACAAAAGCTACAAAGATAGGGAAGGCAAGACTGTGAGGAGTGACTGAGGTTGCTTGGTTTGTTCAGCCCAGAGGAGGCTGAGGGGAGTCCTCATGGTGGCCTGCAGCTCCTCATGAGGGGAGCAGAGGGGCAGCGCTGAGCGCTGCTATCTGCTTACTTACCAGCGTAGAATTATAGAACCATTACTGTTGGAAAAGGCCTCTAAGATCATCTAGTCCAACCATCCACCTACCACCAATGCTGCCCATTAAACCACGTTCCTTAGTACAACATCACCTCCTGAGACAGTGACTCCACCACCTCCCTGGGCAGTTCATTCCAGTGCCTCACCACTCTTTCTGAGAAGTTTTTCCTAATATCCAACCTGAAACTCCCCTGGTGCAACTTGAGGCCACTCCCTCTCCTCCTACCTGTGAGAAAAGGCTGACCACCACCTCAGCACAAACCTCCTTTCAGGCAGTTGTAGAGACAGAGGAGGTCTCCCCTGAGCCTTCTCTTCTCCGGACTGAACAATCCCAGTTCCTTATAAGCCACTCCTCATAAGACTTGTGCCCCAGACCCCTCACAGCTTTTTTCCCCTTTCCTGGACAAGCTCCAGGGCCTCAATGTCTTTCTTGTAATGAGAAGCTCAAACCGAACTCAGTACTGAAGATGCAGCCTCATCAGAGCTGAGTATCAGGGGGACAATCACCTCCCTTCTCCAGCGGGCTACACAAGAAAGCCATTGGCCTTGGCCACCTGGGCACACTGCTGGCTCTTGTTCAGCAGAGGGCACGACAGCAACAGGACCTGAGTCAGGGAACGGTCAGGTGGGGGACCCAAGAACTTTATCCACCAGAGGTTGGAGAGCACGAAGCAAGCTTCCCCAGGCAGTGGGCACAGTCCCAAGCTGCTGTGGATCAAAGATGTTTGGATAACACTCAGAAATATAGTTTGATTTTTAGTTAGTCCTGTGTGAAGCCAGGAGTTGAACTTGATCCTTATGGGTCCCCTTCTTACTTGGGATATTCTGTGATCCTATGATCACCTTCATTTTACTGGGACAAAGGAGTCAGTAACATTATGCAAGTGAAAAGCAGAAACTGGAACCAATTATGCCAATTGCTCCCTCAAGGGTCTGAATCACAGCAGAGTATTTCACAGAAATATTTGTAAATGGTGCTTAAGAAAGTAGACCACAGTCTCATATGCATTATGAGCAAATCTGTAAGCTACCAGATCCAAGAGCATGTAATTTCAGTGAAGCTTACTTTTTGAAGTATGTAATCCAGCAGAGAGAGAATGAATTATTTAAAAACTAATAGTCATAATTATGAAGAACTAAATTAGCATTAAAATTTCTAATTCAAATGTACATGCTTGTGAGGAATGGAAAGATATTGTCCAAGGATAGAGCAAAGGAGTCTAAGGTGTAATTTTCTACATTGTTCACAGTAGAAAGGCTGATGTGTCAGTTGACATTTACTACATGATTTTTAATGAAATTATGAAAGATATTTGTGTAAAAATCAAGAGCTCTGGAGAAAGAGAACTATTTGCTTACCTTGAATATTGTAAAAACAGCAGTTGAAGTTTGTCTTCTCATGTTAGGATAATCTCTATTCTTCAGGAAAAGCCCTTTGGGGAAAAGACTAGTTTGAAATGAACAATAATGCCTTTGGGAGTGGAAGTTTTCTTGTGAAGTTCAGATACTTTCCTCAACTAGAAATACCAACTAATTTCACAGTCGGGGATTAAATAATGGAATTATTTTTAATCATTAGGCCACTTTTCCTAACGATAAGACTCCATGAAGACACCCGAAGAGTTAAAGATGACATACCCAATTTTAAATCTCTTTCAAGATATTCAGTTTAGATATCTCAGGTCTTTCAGCAGTCAATATTGTGAGCTATGTTTTTGTTCCCCCACCTGCCTCCCCCTAGCTCATGTGTTTCAAAAATAGGAGGCAGTAACAGAAATATCAGCTCAAATCTGTGTCATAATACATCTTTTGGAGAACAAAATATTATTATACTTCTAAAGACATTTAGCAGCATTTGACTTTGCATTTAACTATATAGTATTTATGAAGTCGAAACCTTTTACAAGTTTACATCTTTGCAGGTGTAAAGTATAATGCCTTTCTTTTTTTCTTTAAGCTTACTATTCATTTCTTTTATGACATTTTTAATAAAGTTCAGTTTTCCTTAGTGCCTCAAGGTATTATTGTTGTAAAGCCAGCAGATAGTAATAACAGAATTGTTCATGTTTCGCATATTCCAGAAAGAACATTAAAAAAATCCAGTTCCCATACACAGCCAAGAAATGAGCTTTAGAATTTCATCTTGCAGCAATGGCAGACTGTGTCTTCTTATAAACAGCAGGAGCAGACTGCTCAGAACAAACATTCTTTTATTTCAGTAAAAAAATGTAGTAACCAGTAGTTAAATTGCGCTGTCATTTAAAATGATATAAATTTGGACTTGCTTGGTTGATTTGGGGATGTTCATAGTGTTACGCATTTTCATAATGCAAATTAGTAGAATTTAATTCTGAAAATCAAACTTTGTTTTATGTTTTGACATTTGCGCTTCTTATCCTTGCTACTAGTGCAGCTAAAGTTTTAGAAGCCTATCATTGTGTAATTTGCCTTGTGGGAATAGCAAACAAAATACTGTGGCTGTATCGCATTAATGTGCTTATGCAATGGCATATTTATAGCCAGACAGCTCTTGTGATATTTCTTTCAATTTCTGGAAGGAAATAAAAAATAACATCCCTAGTTTAGGCCTGTTCTTTTAAAATTCTAGCAAATGAAAGTTATTGTTCTTTCTAGAGTCTGAAAAATGATGTTGCTGAAATATTTTCATGAAACGTATTTACTAGTACACAAAACCTGGAATACAACTGGCAAGGAGGACTGAATTCAAGTGTTTTTTGTCCTGAGTCTATCCTTTTGTGTATTTATTCCGGCAGAAAATATACCACTGAATTCTTGGTCAATGGGTTTCAACAACCTGATCTAACAGATAGGGGTGATTTACTGGAGTAAGTCCTCCAACAAACAAACCCTCAAAAGGACTTTAGACTGAGTTTAGTTGGGTTCTTCAGCACTACTTCATTACAATCTCCATTAGCACTCAGGTCCCTTGCCCCATGAGTCCTGTAAAAAACCTGACTTCTTCAGAACACGGTGGCAGTTAGCCAGCTTTAATACCATGGCTTTTTCACCCTCAAAATCAGGTCAGGCCTAGTGCTAGCCATTATCCAATAAAGTTTATCTGAGAAGCTGTGTTGTGAAATAAATCTGACATTCAGGAATTGTTTCAGTCTTTAGTGTCAGATGATTTCTTCTGGACTGAAGCAGAGGAGTCATCTCTGCTCCAGACTTTTGGGTGACATGGTCTGCTTGCTTCAGTGAGGTGAGGGAGCCAGGTGAACTACAGTTGAGAAAACAAGAACCTTCCAGTTTTTCCCCATTTAAAATGGGGAAATAATAGAATATAATGAAATATTAATAAGAGCTGAAAATGACTGGATTAATAGTTAGGACAAAAGGAGAAATTAAATGTCTTAGGTGTTGTTGTTTTTTTCCTTGGTACTGAAGATTCTGTAAATTCCAGAAAGGTTAATGAGGAAAGACAGCTGTCAGTTCTTCTTCTGTTTCCCAAAAAGTAGGGGAAAAAAATCAAAAAGTCTGCTTAATAGTTCTCAAGGTACGTTACTTTTGGTTCCTAAGAAAACAATAAAAGAAATAGAGACAATTGAGATACATGGAAAAACATTGTTGAATCCATGGAAGACTTTGGAAAAGTATTTATAGTCAAATCAGTCTGCTGTACATAGAGAGATATGTGCAGCCCCAGCTGAGTGGCAGGCTGGGCAGCTACGTGACTGAAAACAAACTTTGTCCAAGTCTGTTTGTCACACTGAGTTATGTAAAAGAGGGCAGAGGGCAGCCTCAGCAGCCATTATAAATCTTTAACCAAAGATGTAGCCATTGAAGAGCACTTACATCATCACTTAAGCCCAGGTCTTTGGTGGTCAAATAGATCACTTAAAACATTCTGAAACCGAATGTTAGTATTACAGATTTGCCATACAAAAGAGAATGATGAAAATATGCCCTATTTATTGCATTTATTTGCCTACCTTTGTTTTTTTGTTTGTTTGTTTGTTTTTTGTTTTTTAAAATCTTTCTGTAACTTTGCATGTTGGCTTTCACAGTTCACTATAATTCTCATGAAAGGTTCACCAACAATCCTTCTATGAATCTTTATAAATAGAAACTAAGCAGACCATTTATTGCTTTTATTTGGAATTGAATTCAGTGATGTTTCCACTTTAGTGAATTCATTCTTATGTCCTTCCTTTCATAAATCACAGGTGCCACTGCTAGGTACAATGCTGCAGTAATAGTTGTATCAGTATCAAAGAAGCAGTTGAGGAATGAGATACTGCCTTATCCAGATTCAATATTCCCATTCATACATCCAGAATTTGTTGACTCTTTTGACAGGTGAGATGGTCAAGAGCCTAAAAGTAACGATTCTCATATCCTGTTTGTAGCTGAGGACCCATGTGAGAAGCGTGTACTCTTCAAGTTTTTGTTCCAACAAGTGTAGTTCCAAGTGTAAGTGGTCATTTTCTGTAACACTGTTTTTGCAACTCACTCATCAGATTATTCTATCATGACAATTTGTTCCTGTAACTTTTTTTTTTCAATCTCCTAATCACGGTGGTCTTTTTTTAGAGCTTTACTGTAGTTTTCAATCAAAATTAATTGCAAAGCTGAGTATTTTACAGAAATCTGAATACATATGCTAAGCAGTCTGTAGTAGATAAACATGTAGATAGGTAGGTTGGTGTATAAAAACTGTTTCTTAATGGAATCTCCTGTTGGTCATTGTCTCGCGTACCTGGGATCAATGTTAAGCTAATAGGACTACGATGGTTATCAATCTTTTTTTCAATAGTGGCACAACCTTTGCATTCTTTAAGCGCTCTGGAATTTCTCCAGTGTTTGAAAACTGACTGAGAATTAATATTAACAATCTGCTCTTTGCTGGCTCTTTTAGAACTCTTGGATGTGACTAATCTGGACATGCCGATTTAGGAATATCTAAATTTAGAACCTGCAGATAACTAGATCTTCTCTGTTCTCCCTTTACTGTAAGCCAAAAAAATACATTTAAAGTACTGTTATTAAAGATCTGTTTTTGTTGCTCTGTTTGCTCACCTGATGTTGTATCATTTCATGCCTCTTTGAAACTCTGCAGATGGGATGAGCTTTGGGTTTCTAAGTTTTTTTTTAAAACAGAGCTACAAATTTCTTTGTGGATTACTTTCGACTTGTATGAACCCTTCAGATAAATGCCTGTCAGCTGCAAATCTTGCATTACAAGCAGCTCAGCCCGGTTTATAACTTTTTGCAGAAGGGAGTTGCTTTTGTTTTTTCACTTATTTATGTGAAAGGGTTTCATGTTTGCTGCATCATTACAGCATCATTTCATCAAAGAACCCATGCCATAATTGGTATAGGGGATGGAAACAGAACAAATACTCACAGAAATGACAAAATAATGACTTTTTAACCTCAGATATTGGAAATATGAAATTGTCTCACATGTCTTAAATAGGAAATTGGGGTATAAAAAGAAGCAGAATTAGTCCTGATGTGAACAGTCCTGGGCATTTTACATTATTAAGACGAGGAATAGAAAAGGGTTGGGAATAACTTGTGAAAACAAAGTCATTTGAAATAGTTTTGTTAAAAGTAGGAGAAGACTCATGCTCACCCTAGAAAGAAGCTCTGTGATGCATGTTCATTCATTGCAAATGGACCTTACTTCCTTTGGTCTGCATCTGTTTCATGTCTCAAAATATTTGCTTTCTTATGGAGCCCACCATATCCAGAACAGTGTGTTTGCACACTCAAACTCTTTAAAATGCATACAAAGGGCACAAAATGTCTTCATTTATCAGATTAGCTCACAGATCAGGTACTATTCGAAAGAGTAGAATGGCATAGAATCATGGAATCACAAGGTCAGAAAGGACCTACAAGATCTAGTCCAACCTGTCCTCCCATTATCATTGCTACCACACAACAGAACAAAGGTGTCAGCTCACTGTCATAAAACTCAATTCCCCTTCTAGTCAAAGGCCAGGAGTTAAAAGCAAAATAGATACAAATGATTAATTTTCAAATCGCTCACCCTTTTAATTGATTTAGATTACATTTTAATAGAGTAAATGCATTTTTAAAACTTTACTATAAACACCGTCTGCATTCACACATTCCCTGCCAGAGGCTTCCAAGCTGGCTGAAGAAGTCACCCCCTCCTCCATACCCACAGCCGCCTATTGCTGCCCCTCTGATCTGCCTCTGGAGCTGCTCTCAGAAATACCTCTACCCATTCCAACCAGAATAAACTGGATTCTGCTGAACAGCTGAAATGTCCTAAGAAAGCCAGGGCTACAGATTTTTCTTGGTGTGAAAAGGGCCAAGTTTGGGCTACAAAACCACACCAGCAGAAGCTCCTGCATTATGCAGCTGTTTTAGGAAACCTCTGTGCCCATGGCACAGTTGATTGCCACTGGGGCTTGTTACACTGCTGTTTATAAAAGAGCTAGATTCCCACAATGAAGCTGAAGCACTTTGGTGGTATGGTAACAGGTACTCCTGTCCTGCTGGAGTACAGTTGTTGTTTTTACTGTGGCTTTGCACGTGTGAGGTAAATATGTTCCTTCATTCACACCCACACAGAAGTCAGGTGTGTCCTAAACATCTGGGCTGGGTAAGTAGATAGGATCGATTCTTTCATCTTGCTGTGACATCATTTCATTAATGTAATGTGACCCTCCCTGAAAAACAGATGAGACAGTGTGTCTTACAGAAAACAAATTTCTGTCCTCTCTTTTCTACAGGTATGATGTTGAGAAATGGCTGAACAAAACCAAATAACTTTAATTGGTAGGAGAAGATGTGCAAAATTATCCTGGATTAATTAAGGAGTAATATAAACAAACATAAAAGCAGATTTCCAAATGTCAGTAATACTGAGAAGGAAGAAATATCATTCTAACCAACCCCGCAGCTAGAACTGGTGACATATATTGCCTTTGTGTCTTTAGATTAGCTTTCAGATTACCAGTTTATATCAAAATAAACCTTGCTGTGACTAAAATGTCTTATTATTAACCAATAGAGGTGAAGAAATATAAATTATATCAACCATAGTCAGCTGACGTCTTAACTTCCAGTTGTTTCAGCCACTACTACATAAAACAAGTAGTGCATTGCTTACTTAAGGAAATGCTAGCTGAGGGTGAAACGTGCTCTCTCATTATTCTGAAGTTTTCTAACATAAATTCAGAAGATAAATGATAAGAAAGGTCTGCTTGTGGGGGCAAACAAAGCCAGTCTACTGTCACGAGATTTTCAACATATATTAAGGCACGAACTTGAAATCAATATAATTGTTTCCGTATAACCCTGCATAAGAGAACTCTCACTTCATAATGAATAATCTCTTTTATTTTATTTTTTGTACCTTGTGAACCACCAGTACTTTGAAACAAAACCTCATGTTTCATTTGATTAAAAGCTCTTGCACTAAAATGGTTTTACATGGATCAAGATAACTTGTAGAATCTTTTTTTGTGAATAAGCCTTAGCAATGGAATAAACATGAATCAGTAGATTGTTGCTGTGATCCTTATTCCTGGGCACTTACAAACAAATATATTCCCTTATGACCTCACCAAACCTTAGAAAAATACATTTGTATGCAAATCTGTGAAAAGTCATATGGCAAAGCGACCCTTAGGATTGCAGAAGCTGTGCAGTACCTTAGAGCTGCAGAAATGTCTGACAGCTTTTGTATTGGAAGCTCCAGGCCATATTCAGTAGGAACACTTGAAATTATAAAGTCTAAAAAGCAACATATTCTACTGATATATACAACTTTCTCAGTCATTTCTGAATTCTTACTAATACTGCCTAAGGGCTAAAACAAGAGAGATTCAGATCCATAGAATACTGTTATTTGCCACGGACCAAGGCAGGAGCTAGTTGCTTCCAGCCTAATCCCAGCGTGCCATGTGGCCATGATAGCGGTGGTCACGCCAGAAGGAAGCAGGCTGGTGACTGACTCACTGCTACTTCGGCCAACACCAGCTGCCTTCCAGCTGAACTGCAGCAACAGAATGACTTGAGATGTAGGCTTCTGTTACAGGTTGATGTAATTTATATCCATCACAGAACCGTAATGGTAAATCACATTCTAGCAACTTTATTGTTCTAATAGACTATTAGACAGTGTGAGGCTACTGTAACTAACATTAAAAGAGTTAACTGAAATGGGGCTTTTTCAGTTATAAAGAAATGATGGTTTTGGATGAGGCACCATATGTCAAATTTGCTGCTGTCTTCATAATGCAGAACAAGAGAGCAGTTGAATACCAAATTCTTTTATATGAAATCAGGTGAGCAACTTTTCAAGCCACACAATGAAAATAATAATAAAAAAATATTTATATTAGCCATTTAGGAGAAGATATTCAGCCCAATTCTTTCTGACAAAATAATTTTTTTCTTTCTCTGGAAACCAAAAGAATTTTCAAAAGAGTCTGTTTCTACAAATTTCTCTGACAAAAAAGACTTGCCCCCTTTATAAGCATGTATGATATACAGCCAAACATCAACTTGTCTACGAGACCACAGGATGATGGTCATGCATAGGATATGCCCACTAGATAATTAACTGGTTAATATATTGTTTTAGCCTGCTGAGGCTCCAGTATGTGGCCAATAGCAAAACCAGCATCAGGATTTGGCTGTTTAGACCTGCAGCAAATTACCACTATATAACAGGAATAATTGGTAGTGTATATATATATATGTAGTATGAATACATAGTATATTTTATTAATGCTATTAACTCCGTATTGACATATAGTATATTACATATTTATCCACTGATGGGGGATATAATCCTTCTATTTCACAGTGATACTGTATAGTTAACAAGAATAAATGCAGAGAACATCTCTTGGCCCTTTTAGTGCACAGAGAAATATTAGCAGTGCAGACCTGTCTCTGAGTAGATGTATACTAACGCTAAAAACTCTACTGACAATATGCACATACAGTGGTTTTAGAAGCGTACAAATTAACCAAATGTTGTCAGGTTTTTTCAGAAGGAACAAGAGCCATATCCCTGAAATTACCTTCTGCCAAACTTCAAAGTCCTCATCAAAATAGAGGGCTGCTTATCTCTCAGCTGAAATATTTGTAATGGGTTAAATAGACTGCATTTCTCAGTGTTTCTTTCTCATAAATTTCCTGAAGAAAAAAAAAAAAAGCCTGAAGTAGAAACGTGTGCTATTAGGGGTAAAATAAGACTGGCAAAGGTATAACCAACTGAAAAAAAAGCATTACAAGGCAGTGCTTAACAACAGATTTCGCGTACGTTACAGTACACTACATCTCCCATTTAAAGCAGCATCTTGATCTCCTTTGTAGTTAGAATAATACTAAAGAAATGTAGCCATTATTTCCTTGTTTATTAATGGATATATTTTGTTATCAGATCTCTTCCACTGAGAGATTCCTAGATAGATTCCACCTTATACTCCAAAGACATTTTAAGAAATACAAACATGTCAGATAGAGAGTAAAGGGTCAGACAGTTTCGTTATTTAATAAGAAGATCTGGCAAGAATAATTAATCCATTTTGTACTCCAAATCCTTTTAAATGATATTGGAAGCATTTTTAGTATTAAATACATATATATTTATTACGTGATAGTGTTTAAAAGTCCCCAACCCTTCAACAAGTACAATGGTCAGAAAAATACTGTGGGATTATTATGGTTATGTCAAATAAATCGAAACCTTCACAGCTAATGTTGACACCAAATTGTTGAGCATAGCAGGAACCTGCCATTAGTAATTTACATATTTGCTTCCAATGGTGCCTATGCATCATAAAGATAGTTTATATTTGCATTTGCTGCCCTCTGAACCAAGTCATTTTCCAGTGGCACATATTCACTTTCACTGGAGATAACTTTCATTAGTGATAATTAAAGGAGAATTTTTACTGCGTTGTGCTCCAGGAAACAATAAGAGGTTGCAGAGACTGATTAATAGCTCAGCTAGGTTTGAGACATGTAATCAATCTCACAGGCACAAAAGATTGTTCCTGTTACGTAATGAGACATAACAAGAAAGAAAAAAATGTTTACTCTGAGCAGTGCTTAGCCGTTAAATTCCATTGAAATGCACTAAATGGCCTGATTTATTTTAAAATGCTCCCAACAGAGAATAGCCTCAGTCTATGGGTAATGACTTTTGCCCTCATTATCTGCACAGTCTGTGTTTGGACTCTGACTAGGACAGTGCCAAGGAGGATGTCACTGTTATCTTAGTGTGGAAATGATTTTCAGTAGACAAGTGCATGCAAGAGTTGCTCTGCATCCAATCCCATTACTTTCGGATTCAATGGCTATTGAAGATACTCTTTTTCAAACACGGCTGAACCCCACAGACTCAATATTACTTCCAGTTGAAGCCTTACCGTTTTAGTGGGACCTGGAACAAATCCAACATCTGTAATGTGTTTTTACTTACAGAAAAAGTGCTATTATACTGTGACTTATTTTGCCATCCTACTATTGTGTTGAAAAATACTATCACTGCAGAATTGCTGTCAAATGTTTGTTTTTGTTGTGAAAATAACACTCTTTCTGCACTAGCATGATGTTATCATTTAATTATTTTTTCTTTTCTGCTTTGTGATGGAAAACTGCAATTCAATGAAGTATATATTTAAATGCAAAAGAGGCATACCAATTAATCAGTACGGAACATGAATGCTTTTAATCTGCATCAAAAAACCACAGGCCTTAGAAAAACTCCAATCTTTTCAATAGAAAACATATAAAAGTAATTCCTGTCCGTGCTCAAATTTCCTCAAATACTATGCAGTTGTGCAATTTAACTGCCTTTGCACTAATATATTCTTTTAAGGTTTTGCATTATGCTAAGAACCTTTGGAAGAGTCTTTGATTTCTTTTTCTGTGGCACAAAAATGTAAGTAAGCATTTTAAATGGATTAAAAAAAAAAAAAAAAAAAGAATTAATAGATTGATCAAATGTTAGCTCTGAGACAATGAGAACTGAAGCTTAGATGTTTACTGCATTCTGGGTCTTACCCATCCAATTAACATGGAGAAAATTAGTAATGAGGACAGGAAATAAATTAGGCTGAGGGTTGCAATTAGATATAGCCATGACAGTGAACTAATTAATTTTGAGTGTATACGAAAACTAGCTGATGGTATTACAGTGGTCAAGTCTCCCTTGCCTAGGGTCATGCAAGACTGGGAAATGATGACAATAGGAAAACCTGGATGCTGTTGCCATTAGGGATGCTCCAGGGTACACCAAACAGAGACACTTCTGTTCTGTATATAGCAAGTATATCTTGAAATAGCTTATTAGCTCTGTTTTCACCACTAGCCTGAGGCCATGCGGTGTTGCATGAATTTGCGAAGCCATCCTAGGATCTACATCTGTAGGAAGCAGTTATAGGAGTGACAACCCTGTAAATAATACCTGAGCAAATAGGCTCCACCAAACCCGGAATGGTTTGTGCATTCATTACACTCTGGAAGATTTTCATTTGTGTTATCTTCATAGCTGTTATCCAGTGGTGCAAAACAGAACAAAAATGGTACTAATAGTATTTTGAGACTTCAAAACATTTCTCAAGACCTTGAGTTGTGTTTTTTTTCCTGTTAGGGAAGCTCACTCCAAAGAACTATGAGAGTCGAAGACACTGCTGACACGAGGCATCAACCTCCCAGTGCCTGCTTTCAAGTCAGAGACATGGTATACTTGCCTCTGCAAGTCTATATTCCTCTATATATCACTGCTAATTGCCAGAATATTACTTTTTCTGGGAACAGTCTCTCTCTGGTTTCAATAAGAAGCTCTATGTAGAGTGAGAAATCTTACTCAGGGGAAATTTTATTGGGTATGTATGCAACAAAGAAAAGCTTCCTTTTTAAGGGGTTGTCATTCTCCAACAGCTATTCCTTCAGGAAATTCCAGCCTACCAACTGATGTCTGGGCCAAACCTGCATGGGTCCTTTCAGAAAACTATCACTCAGTGCCTACCCTTGCAATTGGATTGATTCTTTTCATATTGAGACTAACCACCCACAAAGCCATGATATAAAAGAAGGCCAAAAAAGATTTGCAAGTAAAAAGGATCACAGCCAGATATCCACCTACTGCTTTATGTGGCTGCTTTATACCAGCCCTTCCTTGAGATGCTTTTATAACCAAACAGTTTAGCCTTATTTGTTACTGGTATAAGAACCATCTTGTCACTTGTCACCAAGATACCACAGTATCTATATTATCTGTTTTGGGTCTTGGAAGAAAGAAATGGACATTCTTTAGGTTCTGCATAGGTATGGCAGCAACACAACAGCCTGGATCCTTCACTTTTCCAATGCTTTTAGGGCACTGCATGCACTCCTCTGCATGATGTGCTGCATTTTGGGGGATTAAGAAGAAAAGTCTACCATGTTATGGGCAGCTGGGCATAATGACAGCGCTGGGGGCTTAGATTAGGAGCTGGAAACAAGATATGGGACAAATTTGTTGGTGCAATGAAAATGGAAAGGTAAAGTCAGGAGGCAATCTAGTGCCTGGAGGCTGCGCTGGGGAAGATGAAAGAATGAAAACCGAAGTGAAAGAGGCCAAAGGAACAGGGGATCCAGCAGAGCATGGGAGGGGAACAGCTGAGATGACAGATTGAGGAAAGGGTCATGGGGATGAGAGCAGAGGAAGGATCGCTGACATCAGAGACTGCTGAAAAGTGATGATAAGCATGAAGAAGGGATGCAGAGAACGCTTTATAAAAATGAGGTTGAAGCAGAAGACAAAATCCTGCAAGTGAAAATATATTATAGGTCACGTCAAAATACAGTGGAACTATTTATTTCTGTGCTGCTCTTATCTTGTGCATTCTCAAAGCAGCAATTTTGAATCTTATTAATTCTGTGCTCTCCAGTGGCTCAGGCTGCCTAGCAATGCCTGGCTGGCGCTCCGCTGCACATGGCTCATGGCTGCCTAGCAACTGGCAGGGGGGTGCCAGGGGCCCTGGACCAGGCTCAGGGGTGCAGCCCTACCTCAAGTACCCGGATCCCCCAGCTAGGTAGAAGGGAGCAATGCTGCTTGTTACGTCTGTGACAAAAATCTTAATGCTGCTTGTAAAAGAGCACACATGGAAATGCCCAACAAGAGTGCAGAGAGCCTGACAAATGCCTCCAAAAAGTGGGAGCGGTCCCATTTTTCTCTGCGATATTCAGACAACCTTTAATGATTGTTGAAATATCAATATAGTTAATTAGTAAGCTCTGTGGACTAGATCTGAAAGACAGGAAGGCAAACCAACATAGTGAAGTAGCTTCTTGGGTGGTTACTTCTAATTTGATGTAGGAAATACTGAAGATACCAAAATACCTTTTGGTCCCAGAAAAAAAAAATAGCGTTACATATTCATGCAGGATTGTCCCAGAACAGCTACACTTGTATACCTATTGTCAGTAACACTGTAATCAACAAAAATCTTCTTACAGGAGCATGAGGCTTGGCATCTGGAAGAAGAGCTGATGCGGCTGATCTGAACAGACCTCGTGGCCTCTGTGCTTCCAGCTGCCCTCTCAAATCCCTCAGCTCCCTTTCCACTGTCAAAAGTGCTTGTGTAGCTGAACAGCTGAACCAGGAATTGATCCAGCAAACAGACCATCAAAAAATAAATTGTTATTTTCCAATTGACACTATTGTAAAGGGAGAACTGTTCTCAACAGAAAAACAAAGACATACCTGGAAAATGGAACAGCTACAGAGCTACACAAATTACAGTGCAGGAGAAGTTGCTTTGATGCTACTACTTTGATGCTATTCTAAATAGGTGGGTTTAGAGTTACATTTTTCTCCCAGTCAAAAATGGGCTACATTTCAGAAGTGCCCTTGGAAATGAGCCTGTCCCACTGAGAGGGAGCAAATCTTAGACAGCTGAGATGCTGAATGGTATATATGCACAGTTTACTTTTAATGGGATCTCATTTATGGGGTATTTGAGTGGAGCTTGAGAAGCATCATTACATTCTTTTCTCTATCAGCCAGACTCCCCAGCCAGGAAAACTCCTAGCTTTCTTACAGACTTGCATGTAACTTAAGTAAGTTAGTTAACATTTCCTTACAATCAGCAGTTTACTGGAGTAGTGGATAAGTGTGATTAATTAAAACAAAACAAAAGAATAAGACCATTTCTAGGGGGCAATCTATTGAATGCAGTTCAGACATACATTAGTGTTCTTCAGAAAGGATCAACTCAAGTCCAAAATTTTATTGGCTCCAAATCAGCGTTGGTTCTGCTGGGTTTGGCTAACAGCCTGGCCACTCAAATGGCGCCATACTTTTAGTTACTTGAAAATCACTTCCCATATGCACCACGCGTGTTCATGGAACCAGCCTGTGTCATTCACATCTGAGTCAATACAAACTCTGAGAATCTCAGGCATGAGGAGCACAGTGCAGAGATCTTCAGGTGACCCAGAAGGGACATTCTGAAAGCAAGGAGAACCAGCAGGGGCAACAGCTATTAAGGCTGCTCACCTGAACAGTTGAGCCTGACTGCACCAGGATTCCCAATGAGTACGGCACTAAGTTAAAATGTCCCGCTAGAAGTGAGCTACCTCCGCGTGAGGCCAGACGGGGGTACCTGTATCAGGTCCACCAACCCACCGGGCTAACCTCGCCGCCAGGGAGGCTCTGTGCCGTGGGAGATGGCACGAGGTGGCGCTCTCCGATGGCGTCTTCAAAGAGCGCAGTTTGAGGCAGAGCGTGATTTGTTTGTTGAAGGGCTTTTGGGTGGAAATTCGCTGGAGCCCCCTCGAGCTTCTGCTCAGCTGTTTGAGGTGGGCGAGTTGCCTGGCAGCCAGCGCTGCTCTGTTCAGCTGCAGCTGTGTCTGCTTGCAGGACTTGGTTGCCTGCTGAAGTGAAGCACGGTCTGTTTAACAAAACACACACTGCTGAGTTTTCTATACTGAAAAAAGTCAATGCACAATGTCCCACGTGTCTTCCATCTCTTAGTTCAGGGGCAGCAATAACATTTTAAGAAGAGTTGACAACATTTGTGCTGCTTGAGGATGTTAACAGCTCCAGTGAAGCCAGTCTGTGATCTGCAGGCAATTATAGGCTCATCCAAGCCAACAGGAATTTGTAGCCTAACTGAAGAGAGAAATCAAATTTGCCTTTGTATTATGATCACTGGAGAAGTCAATGCCCAGGATGGTTTCTGATCAAACTTACCCTGGGAAACACTAAAGGCTTATCTATTTCTCAGTGCTGTTACAGGTCAAATTTAATTATTTTACCTTAAAAGGGCACTTAGAATCCAAAATAAAAATATTTTGTTGAAAATTACCTGCTGTCCAAAAGAGAGTTACTGAAACCACTTTGGAAATAATTTTACTAAGCTGACAAATGAACCAGCCGTCTGAAGACAGCAGTACAGATCCATCCCACAACAAGTGCTGTGAGTGCACTGGCTCCACCCTCCACTGCCCCAGAGGGAACTCAAACATCCAAGCACCTGTCTGTTCCCAGATGAGAACTATGAGGTCCCTCCAGAGCCCAGCAGGCCTTCCTGGGCTCCTGCTATTACCCTCACTTCCATGGCTCCAAACGAGCAGCTGGATTTGCTGACTTTGGAGGGAAGCAGATGTTCTCCTCTCTCCACCTTGACTTGGAGACACCATCAGTGTGGCCCAGACTAGGGCAGCTTCAGCGCTGCAAACACAAGATGGACTCTGGTGGTCATGTGAGATATACAATTGTGCAGACAGACGAGGCTCTCTGCTCTTACTGTGATGAATTTCAGACTATTTTTCTGAAATGTGTTGATATTTCACTACTGTGAGTTTCTGTGGGACAACCAATAAAGCATACAGACTGTTGCTTTTGTGTGTACAAAACGCCCAGCCAAGAGATGAGTAACAATCCTTGGAAACAGCTTCTCCTCGGCCTGTTACTCACTGGAAAGGCAGGCTCAGCCATCCCCACATAGAAACAACCTGCTGTTACTGCTTTCTTGTCTGGTATGATCACAGAAAACAGGATTTTACTTACAAAAAATCCCAAAGATATGCAAGAAAAATTGTCCCAAAGAATAACAAGCCACTTGCGTTGCACACTTCTGCAACAACCACAGGAGGTCCTGAATGACAATAGATGAGGTAAGAGAGTGTCTGGATTGATGTAGCTCTGAAAATAATGCCTCCTATTTACTTCCATGGAAACAACAGATACAAAGAGCGCAATAATATTTTGATTGATTTTCAGCTACAAAAAACTATATTACAACATGGTCAGCACCATTAGGTATGCATTGTCACCAGCAAAGAACAAGAGCCTGCATGTCATGCTCTCAAAAATCTGCACCAGCAGAGGTGACTCACTGTCACCACTGTTGAAACGCATCATTCACTGCCTCACTGTGCTCACATCCACTGTTTGGTGCAATTTTTTCCACATGGAGGAATTCAGTGACACATCTTTGTTTCATATGCACTTCCATGCCAGATGCCACTTTGTCAGACTGACCCTCTGCTGCCATCTGTCACACAGCAACAAAATGTAATAGAATATTGGTGGGAAGGGTTGACCGCTGCTTCCATACCAACAATATCCACTTCTGGTGGTGTGGGCCAACATAATAAAATAGGAGACATTACTTTCAGAACAGCCATCTAATTTACCTCAGACAAATACTTAAGTTCTTATATATTACAAACTGATAATAGCTAATGGTCAGTTGCCACTTCTGGGCAGCTGTTTGCAAGGACCTCCACAGCTCAGATTCAGCCTCTCACCCTCTCCTACAGGATGATCAGCTGGGCAGGGCCTCTGCACAGCACTAAATACCTCCTAACTGCATTGTTCTAGTTGTTTTAGCCATTTCGTGCCACCAATTGTCATTATTTTACAAATTTCTTATCCTAACCTGACAGGAGGCAGAATCTTGCAGGATAATGATAGGCTGAAGTAAACGTGACAAAGTTCAGTGAGCCCAAGTGCCAAGTCCTGTGCTTTGGTCACATCAATCCTATGCAGTGCTACAGGCTTAGGGTAGAGTGGCTTGAAGACTGTGCTGAGGAAAAAGGTGTGGGAGTGCTGGTCGATACTCAGCTGAACATAAGTCAGCAGCGTGCCCAGGTGGCCAAGGCCAGTGGCATTCTGTCTTGTATCAGAAACAGTGCAGCCAGCAGGAGCAGGGAGCTGATCATCCCCCTGTACTCAGCTCTGGTGAGGCCACACCTTCAGTACTGTGTTTGGTTTTGGGCACCTCACTGTGAGGCCCTAGAGGGTATCCACAGATGGGGAAAAAAGCTGTAAGAGGTCTAGAGCACAAGGCTTACGGGGAGTGGCTCAGGAAGCTGGGGTTGTCCAGTCTGGAGGAAGCTCAGGGGAAGCCTTCTCTCTCTCTCCAATTGCCTGAAAGGAGGTTGTGCTAAGGTGGAGGTCAGCCTCTTCTCCCAGGTAGCAGCAATAGGAGAAGGGCCTCAAGTTGCACCAGGGGAGTTAAGTTGGATAAAACCTCTCAGAAAGAGTGGTGAGGCACTGGAATTGGTTGCCCAGCGAGGTGGTGGAGTCACCATCCCGAGAGGCGTTCAAGAAAAGGGTAGATGCAGCACTGGCACAGGGAGGATGAGGGTAGGACTTAGAGGTTTTTCCGAACCTTCTACAAGAGCAACGCTTCCCCGATGGAGCCTTTAGCCCTCTGCTGAGGAGCCCACTCCGCCTCAGCACAGCACGAGTGCATCTGGGGCTTTTGTTGCCGCTGGGGCAGGGACACAAGCGGTGACGCAACACAGCCCAACCCCGCCATCCGCCATCTCCCCGCCGGGCGGCGCTGCACCGTGAGCGACCCCACTCCGCGCATGCGCACGGCGGGGAGCCCGGCGCCTACAGCTCCCGGCGTGCTCTGCAGAGCGGGCGGGTTTTTTTCTGCTGCTTTTTTTTTTTTTTTTTTTTTTTTTTCTTCCCCCTCGGAGAGGGAAGGATGGGTGGGGAAAGCGAGCGCTCACGAAAGCGAGGCGAGGAGGAATCCCACAATACCAGGCGGGTTGCGAGCCCGGCACTGCCGCTGTCTCTTTAATGCAAGAGGAAGCGATGCGGAGGGGTGGAAAATGGCAGAGTTGCAGATGTTACTAGAGGAGGAAATCCCTTCTGGCAAGCGGGCTTTGCTCGAGAGCTACCAGAACCTCACTCGAGTCGCCGACTACTGCGAAAACAACTACATCCAGGTGAGGGGCGGTGGGGCGGCTCTGCGGGGCGGGGTGCGCGGGGCCGGAGCCGTGAGCCGCCTGCCGCCTCGGGGGCACCGCGCCGCTCCCCCGGATTTGCCTTTTCTTTCAACTTTCGCTGCCGAACGGCCGGCTTCCCCCCACCCCGGCTCGGGAGGAGAAGGGAGGGGGGTTATTATGTCAGTCCGGCTCGGAGAAGGGTGTGTCTTTTATTTATTTATTTATTTTTTCCTTCCTCCCCCTCTGTGTGTATTCATTATGAGTCACATCCCGGAGACCTCCCCGGGCCGGGCGCGGGGATTGAGGGGGGGCGGGCGGCGATCCTCTCCGCGCGGCCGGTCCGGAGCCGGCGCCTCGGGGGCTGCCCTCCCGGGGCGGCGGTTGGCGGCCGTTGACGAGGCGGCCTCGCGCCATCCGCAGCGCCGCGGCCGAGCCCGGCGGGGACCGTGCACCGCCGTCCTCTGCGGGGATCGGCGGCGGTGGTGCCGCGTTCGGGCCGCGGGTCGCCGTCCCGGCGTGCCGCAGCGCGGGGCCAGCCGCCGAAACGGGCGGCGTGCGGGAGCGGGAAGCGCCCGTGTGCAGGCACTCGCGGGCAGGCGTGATGTGGTGTTTCAAAATGGCAATCCGTGCCTCTGGGAGGCTTCACGATCCGACATCCTGTAGCAATCATCGCGGCCCGCTGCTGCTGCTGCTGCTGTAGGAGGCTCCGGGGCTGCGGCGTGTCCCCAGCGCTCGGCGTGGGCTTTTTTCCTGTACGGCCCGTGGTTCCTGCTCTGTCTTTAGGTCTGATTTAGTGAAACTACTTCCAGCATGCTTTACTGTTATTTATTTGTTTACTTATTTATTTTGGTCAAGATTTGCAGCACACAACTCTGAAAGTAAGCCTGTATGTATACCATACATAGCCATACCAGTGTGGATGTGGAACCATCAGGAAATGCTCAGATGAAACCTCTATTTGCCTTTCCTTGGCATTTTTCTTTCCCAAAAATTTTTTCCTTAATAGAAGCACTGCTTGTGCAGTGAACTTGTTGAACCTAACAGTGGATTACTCGTGTATTGGAGGCCCTGGCACAGCTGCCCAAGGAGCTGTGGGTGCCCCATCCCTGGAGACACCCAAGGCCAGGCTGGATGGAGCCCTGGGCAGCCTGAGCTGCTGGGTGGGAAGCGGCTCATGGCAGGGGTGGGGCTGGGTGGTCTTTAAGGCCCTTTCCAACCGAAGCTATTGTAGGATTACCTGCAGTGAGCACTTAATACAGGTTATTCACGTATTTGGCATCTACTGTTGTCAGTGAGTTGTCTTACTGCTTATAGTAATGGAACAGTGAATCTGAAAATAAAACTTTAACAACTCAATGTGAAATCTTTTTTTTTTTTTTTTAAGTGAGTTTTATACTTGGATTAAAACTGTGCTAACAAGTCATGTTTTAAGGCATTTTGTTATTTTTGGTATGTGAGGGAATATGAGTTAATGTGTATTTACTCTTCCGAGTTGTTTGCTCCACCCAGAGAAAGCTGCTGATATAAATGCTTCTATGAGGCGAGGTTCATTTGGTTTTACTCATGGGAAATATGACAAATACATAAGTGTGGTAATTGCAGCACAAGTTTTGACCTGTCTGCTGCTGCTCCCAACTTTTTGTCTGTGTCAGAAAGCTAGAGACGCTTCAGTTACATTGCTTTTCCAGTGCTCTGAAACTTGTGTCTTTTTTAATGCAAACAAAAAATAAACCAACACTTGAGCTAGTTTCCCTCCATGCACTTGGGCTGGTGTGTTTTTTGTTCTGTTTTAAAATGTAGTAGCTCACTTTCACCTCGGGTACCAATGTAGGCTGCAGGGATTGCTGCAGCCTGGTCTGTCTGTGTACAGCTGTGTTTACCACTTTAGGAGAAAGCTGACATTCTGAAGTTCCTAATCAGGACTCATGCAGTAGCTCTGAAAAATGCATGCCTGACTGTGTTGTGGATGTGTCATGCGTTTACTGAAGTCGGTAAAAATGACAAATGTATTGATAAAACTACATTTACTTTCTTAGAGTGGCAGGGGTGGACTTTTTAATCAGCACTCAGTGCTAAGCCATCTGCTCTCCAGTTGGAGTGCCGAGCAGATCGTGGTGGTGGGGCTGCTGGAGGATTAGGCAGTGTGACACAGGGTGCTGGGTTATGAGAATGGGGAGTGTGTGTGTGTGTGTGTGTGATTGGAAAGGGGTGGGAAGAAAGAGGAAGGGGCTTAATCAACACAAAATACAAAGTGTTTGCATTTCATATAGTGGAACAGCTAACTACCACTCAATGCATCAGGGAGCTTTTGCTTAAATAATAATAAAAATAGGCCAGAACAAAGAACATGTGTGTTGGATGTTAAAGCGGTTCAGAAGTAGATGTGCATCGTAGCTTAGCCCGTAGCATGTAATAGTCTCGCTCTGGTTAGCTTTGAATTTGGGCCATTTACTCTCTTTCTACAGAGAAGTCTCTGTGCTCCTTAGTGGGAAACTGTTCCTGTGTGCTACCACCTGTGCTGCGTTGTAGTGTGGGGGTGGAACGGGTGTGTGATCACTGAGTGCTGCTACTAACAGCTGCTTATAACTGTAATGGTGCTCTGTTTATTCAAAACTCTGTGTGCCCACCTTCACACTCTTTATTCTACTTTCATGTTGACAGGTAAGTGGTGTCATTTTTGCGTCACCCTAAGATAATGCTGTATTCAAATTGCATCTGTACTTTTAGGTTTGAAAACATACAAATCATCTTTACTTCCATCGTTTAATGTGGAAATAATTTTGGTAATGTTCAGTCACCCTGATTTTGTGATTTTGTGATGAGAAGCTCTCTTCAGTGTTTCTAGAGATCCTTAAAAAAAAAAAAAAGGGGGGGGGGGGGGGATGGTGGGGAGGAAGGGGAAAATACTCTTCACCGCAGTGGAACTTGCCTCCCTGATAGTGACTGTAGCTCTGTGGGCAGAAAGCATCATTTTAGTAAAGCACTTAAGAAAGATGACAGATAACAGCATTTGGGGCTCTCAAGGTGAAAATCACTGTTCTTAGAAAAGTGGGAAGCAGTTTCTTGCTAGGGCAAATTGTGAAGAAATCAGAATACCAGGCAGTAATGCAGTGTGTCCTCCAGACCATGTGTGTTCTGGTTATCTGGAACTTGATAGGATTTTACTTGATAGGAGGGGAGAAGAATTCAGGAGAAGCAAAGCAAATAGGTTTGTAGGAAAGATATCCAGCACTGCAGTAAAATGACAGACCTTGGGGGCATCAGAAGGAGGAGGGGACAGAAAAAGGGAAAGGAAACCGAATGTAGAAGGAAATGTAGTCTTCCATTGAAGGAAGTTGTGATGTTATTAGTGAGGATTTTGGCTCTGACTAGAAGGAAAAAAGAAACAAGTACATTGCTGCATTTAATTTGTAGCTAGATTTAAAATCTGTTATATTTCTGGTGATGAGCTTTAGTGTCAAGTAGGTAGAAGATTAGATTCTTATTTTCTTTTGTTAGAGACTTAGATCATCTTTACAGTTCAAAACAGGTTTTGAACGTTGAGTATTTAACTGGAAGTACGACTTTCCTCTGTGTTTAACAAAATATACTTGAGGAGACAAGTTGCATTTTTCTTAAAATCTTCTTTTCTGCTTTAATTTCTGGCACCCTTCAGAATGCTGGTCTGACTGCTGTCCTAATGATGGAGGTGCTTGTAAACAGGCATGCCTTTATAGTAATGTAGGGTGAGATCTGCAAAGGGGGGGGGGTGGTAGAACTGTCTTATAATGGAAATAAGCCCTTTTTTTGCTCTTTTTTTTTATTTTTTTTTTTTTTTAGTTTTGATAGATGCCATACAAAAGTAAGTTGCAGTGCTTAATGCCTTATCCAAATCCTTTTGTCTGCAAATAAAATCTGAGACCATCTCTTCAAGGGAGCGCAGAGTGCTGGAAGTTTATCTGAAAATCGCTGGTGAGGAATGTCTGAGGTTCTGCATTGTCAGTATCCTAACCAGCATGAATACTTTATCAGCACCGAGACTGGAACATTGGATGGAGTTGAAGAACTTGTGGTTCTTATTACGATTCTCCTGCTGAAAATATTAGCTTCCAGAAAGAATCCCCAGTCGCTTTCCAGGTTGAATTGAATTCTTTTGTTTTTAATGAGCTTATTTGAAATAACTAGCTTAGGAACTGTTAGAAATGATACCAAAAAACCAACATCTCCAGTATTATTTCCTTTTGAATAGCTTCAATGGACTGGTGTATAGCCTTGTCCATGAAGCGCTCCTTAGAGCTGCCCCTTGCTGTTTAGGTTGGTTATCTTGTGCACCCCTGTTTATGTGTAGGCAGATACATAGTTTCCATCAGTCTCTTCTGATGCACTGCCAGGATCAATTTGTAATTTCTCGTCCACTCAAACGCAGTTTTAAGGTGACTGTGAGAACCTTTATATGTAGCGCTTGTGTAAATACTGATCTTAATGGTCTCCAGTGAGTGGACTTAGCAGCTCTGGAAAATAAATTAAGTGAAAGATCCTTGAAGGAAGTAAGTGCTGCGTTGCCTAAATGTGTGTTTCTATGTTGTCATGTTATTTCCTTCTGTAGCTCCTGACAGGTATGTGGAAAATGAGCGGTGAGTTCACAAGCTAGTCTGGGTAAAACAGACAAAAGCAGAGAGATTCCAGTTTGGCTGCTGTTACACAAAGTTGAAAGTTTCATTTCAGTTGGTAGAAAAATGTGTGTGGTGTGGAGGGGAAGTGTTGAATGCAAGCTCTGATGTGATCTTCCAGTATGCATCTAAGAATCCTTTCTGCTCAGTAGCTTGAATGTTTGCTTCCTGTGCAGCAGATAAGATATATTGGAAAGGAAGTAACTTCTTCCATGGCCGTTCTTTTTCCTTAAAAGTTGCTGACTGATCTGACACTTGATTTCATTGCCTGGAGTATGGAAAGTAGTGTAAGCTTAGCTCAGTACAAAGCAGTTCACTTGGAATGTCTAATTCAGGAAATGAGCTGCTTTA